CATTCTTTACACCATCTAAATCCTTAATGTTAATTACTGCAATTTTTTTGGGATCATACTCTGTTAAAAACTCTAAACGCCTAAAAAGTTGTTAGGTTATTAAGAATTGAGAATGGTTACTGATTTATAATAGCTTACTTGTCATGTTTTACTTTGCAAACAATCAAGACATCATTAAACAAAAAGAAGAATACGCGTTGTATGGGTCTGTAGTCATTTGAATCTAGCTCTATCAACGCGCCTTCATTTAGAAAAGTTTTACCTTCGAGGTTACCGTTAAAGCCCTGCACCATTTCTTTAACAGCGCGTGTTGCATGATTATTCTCCATTTCATCTTGCGCCTGACTTTCTTCACCATCGCCTTCTGTTTTATTTTTAGTTGAACCCTTCTCGTCAGTAAGGGAGGACAGTATATTACGTTGCTCATTGAGTATGTGCGAAAGCTGATACATTTCAGACTCTAGATCTAAACATGATTGATTATTAAATGAATTGAGTCATTAGTATTCCAAACATTGGAGTACTTACGTGATATTTCTTTGGCTGTCTCAATGAACTGCATGTAGTTGGCATACACCGATTTTTTTAATGTGGCAGATGTTTGATCACTATACGCTTGTATATCACGTTTTCTTTGTGCTACATCTGGACCACCAATACATTCTTTGACCAACTGTTTGGTGTCTGCATTTAATAAAATATTAGTAAAAATTAATTCAATCGTATGTGGTACTTACATTTTTCCACACTAAAATCGGGTTTGTCAAAATCTTTCATTTTATCTGCCATTTTTAAACAATTGCTTGCGATATGTATACAATTTTACTTTTTAATATACAATAATATAAATTTGTATGATTCCATCAACACAATTAAGTTCCACAAAACTGAAAATGAACACCCATCGTTGCATCAGCTGTTTGCTACTTAGTTAAGTGGATTGTAATACACAGCTGATTTGTGGAAGGCAATAATATTAATCTGGCGCTTATAAGCAATACAATTCAAATTTCCAAATAATCGATTAGAAAATATTAAGTAAATTCATAAATAAATACTAAATCTAGTGTCACATATTAAACAAAGTTTTTATTAATACAAGAAGTTAATTATTAAATACTTTTAGCTCCTATAGCCTCATGAAATCATGTATTGACTTATTTTGCGATAAGTCAATAGCGTCTAAAGTCAGTTCACAAACAAAATTTAAAAATAAATGTATTCAAAACCGGACACGATGGTGAAGAGAAATAATAAAGGTGGTAAAATGGTCAGACAGAATCATAAAGGAATTAATTGTAATATTTCTGCGATTGTAGAATCAAGTGAGAGGTGTCTAATAATTGGTAATGCAAAATATAATTGTGTAAATATGATTGAATTCTTGATTTTTTTGTTTGAGTTTCTTGACATAATTGTGGTTAAAAATTCTTATAAAAATAGAGCAACGACCAGCAAAACAAATTTCGTCGACCCTACTGCTAGAAGAGTTAGAAAGTCAGACGTGAATGAATGAAATAGAAGTCCACCTGAAACGAAATCTGGCAAGCAAATTGCTAAAAGGGGAACAGCCGATACGAACTTGAAAATTTCTAACCAACATGAATTGCAACAATATACATATTCCGAAGTGTTGTGGAGATGCCGATCAGCACAGCATGTGATGAACTAGACTCACAAGTTAAACGGTGTGAAATGTCTTCTTAATAGCTATACTTGTCATGGTATGTTTTTATAACAAGGTTCGATTTTCAATTCTTCAGTAAGTTTCTTCAGTAAGTTTTCATAGATAATCCAGATGCTGGCTTCAATTTTGTGAGACTTATAATTTAATTTTAACTGTATACTAAAATACTTCAATGTTATAAATTCATTGCAATCTACAATAACTTTATTTTCCATATAAATTTCATAAAATAATACGCCAATATGTTTACATATTTTGAACTTCAATAAAGCGTAATTTAATAATGCCTCGGGGCATGTTTACCCTTCTCAAGAAATAGTAAAATTGATATTACGTTCAAGTGATTATGATTATTACTATTAGTAATTATGATTGATTGAAATATGTTTCAGAATAACGAACTTTGTTTACTAATTAAAATATATTAATACATATGTGAGTTTTATAGTTATATTAAATAAGTTTTATTATTTATTAAAAAACAAATTAGATTAAAAAAACTTCAATCATTTCTTAACAATTTAAAATTAAATCCAGTAAGTCAGTAACTACTAACTGTTGTTATATCCACGCTGTCCTCAAAAATGATTTTATATCAGAATTATAAAATTTTCACAATGATATAAGCTGGGTTGAGGGAACAGAGTAAGGACATGGATAGGTGGGATTGTGAGTTTACTTACTTGCACTTTTATTTAATTAGTAATAAATAATATGAAAGAAATTATTATTTTAAATTATTTACAAGAATAAATTAAATTTATAATAAATATTGCTCTAGAATTGCTTAATCATTAGAATTGCTATGGGCAAAAAAATATCTAATTTTCGATATAATTTTTTTACAATTTTTGTTTTTAAATATGCTTACTTTTCCTTTACTCTTTGACTAAGTTAAGATTTCTAGTAAATAAAAATAAATCTTTTGTTATAGCTTCATTGTTGTCTATTTCAGAAGTAGTTCATTTTCCAATACAAAAATCAGCAAATACAACATCTAATATATCTTCCGTTGTACATCCACCTGTTATGCGCTCTATGCATCTTAGAGCATTTCTCAATTTCTGTGCAGATATAGCTATATCCGGATAGGTGTCCGGTGTGTATTCATTTAGAAAAATATTTATGTGTTCGATGCATCGCTCTAGTTGTTGTCGATATCGGGCATGAGTAATACGTGGATTTTCAGATGTGGGTAAGCCACCACAACTAAAACAAATAAAAATAAATATTTATTAAAGTTATATTTACAAATATACGTGTATATATATTAAATAAATATAATATGGTAATGTTGGTTTAGAATTGTAACGCTCATTATTTAATTTTGAAATCCAACAGATTTCTACAGTCAGCTCAGAAAGGAAGTACGTGAACTACTAAAAATAATTTTTATTATATTTAGTATATTTTTATATTTAATATATTATATTTTATTTATATTTATTATATATTTTATTTTTTGTTTTTTTTTTTATTATAAACAAAAGTGTATACTTTTACTTATAGTTAAGGCATTCTGTTCGTAAATGAGTTATTAATTTAGGTAACTCTAAAATATACAAAATATAGTTTCTAATATTATCAATTAGTAAAAGATGTTTATATTAGATATTAACTGATTCTTTTCGGGAGTTAAAAACTGCTTATAGCGTTTTGTATTGTAATTCTGAACAAAATTCAAGATAGTCGTAAATTTAGCTTTATCTTACCAGCTTCAATTCCTTAAATTCTTTCGAAAGCATAGGGTCTACTTCACTGTTCCATTTAATATCACATATTTTTTTTTAATATTTTATTAGGGTGATTTTTTGTTTCATTTTATAGAACGTTTAGGGTACAAAAATGGAATTGTTCATATTTCTTTGTTTGTAATAAAGAAAACAATTATTTGTTTAACCCACAACTAATTTAATCTTGTTTTTTTCTATTTTGTTTAAGGTATAGGATATCTCTTTAATCAGTTTGGACTTGCTTGTTACAATATGTACTGTAGTAATCTAAGTCTGAAAATTAGGTAATAAATATATCAAAGCAATAATATTTGTATTTGATATTTATATTCATTTCTTATTATATGTAACATATATTCTAAATTTTAGAAGCTACCTGCATTACTTTAACTAATTTATTTTCTTTAAGAATAGTGAACGACTTCCGATATAATTGTCTAAAAGTTCTTGGGATACGTAAAAAAGGCTTTCCAAGAATTATAGTTTGCTCCTTGCCAAGGCTGACATTCGCACGATAGGCGAAAGTTTGATAACTTTTGTTTACATATTAATTAAGCATTTAAAATAACTCTTACGACCACTACAGCCTATAATGAGTTTTATTTTCATCTAACACCTTTCTTCCTTTTTACTTTCTGTATTGTTTATTGCATTTATTTTCCTATATATTCAATAAATTGTAAAAGACTAATATGATATCGGACGATATCCTATTAGATATCCTATATCGGACGATATCCTATTAGTCTTTGGTTTAATTTTAGTTGTGCGATCATATGTCTAGGCGTATAATCAAAATATATAAAAACTGGCTTATAAATATAATCGATTTATTTGTTATAATAAATATGAGAGTCCTGACTCTCAAAATGTAATATAATTCACGTAGATCCTGAGGCTATTATGATATGATCTTCACCATATCTTAAGAAGGTGATTATTTGGTTTTCGTTAAATACCTTAACAGTTTATTAGGTCGATAATACTCAGCTAGCTTGAAAGTAAATACCCTCTAACAAATAAACACTTCGTCTGGAGAAAGTCGGAAAATTGCATAATAATTACTCAATTGTTTATTTTATGTTCCCATACTCACAACTGCAATCGAAAACTCTTTACTGGCGTACATAATCTAGTCGCATGTATATGTTATCTATTAAATAATGACCGATAAGCCGCATAGAAGCAGATTAAAAACTACTCGTTTCTAAATTTTGAGGTGTCTTCATTTTTTTGGCGTATATTCAGTCTACAAAGACGCTATGCTATCTATAAATAATCTTCTGCTTTTGCACGTTTTTGTTCAAAATACTACTAAAGGAGCAAAACTTGGATACTTATTCCAGTTATTATGGTTTTATGTAAAGGAGAAATACCGTATAATCAGCTTTACTCTTTTTTTTAACTTCAATTTAATAATAAAATACTTTTAAATATAGTAAATAATTTTTACTTACATAGATTTTAGTAATTTGTCAAAATTTTCCATAAATGGTTTTAGGTTGAGTTCATTTTTGCAAGAAATGGTCAGTACATCAAGTGAGTTTTCCAACATATTCAATTCATCTGTTGTTAGCAAATCTATTTTATTAGCAATTAATTTCATTGGTTTATCTCTTATGTGCTTCATATCAATATCCAGTTGTTGTAAATAGATTTGAACGAAATTTTCCAGGCCTTTGGAAGCTAATAAATTTGATTGCTCCATGAAATGCTTTGCATCAAAAAGTAATAAAATTAAATCTGCACTTTCTATGCAGGCTTTTGCTTTAGTTATGCCTTCGAGTTCAATGACATCACTTGTTTGATTTCTCAACCCGGCAGTGTCCGAAAATATCACAGGAAAACCACTAAAATTATGTGTAGTTTCAATGATATCACGCGTTGTTCCTACATTAAATATAAAGTTTTATTATGATTGCAAGAAAAAATTGGTATGCTTACCAGCAATAGGTGTCACAATTGATATTTGACGTTGACACATTAAGTTTAAAAAACTACTTTTGCCTACATTTGGTGCACCAATTATAACAGTTCGCACGCCATTGCGTAACAATTCACCTTGTCTTTGGTCATTTAAATGTGCACTTATTTCTATAATTAAGCGCTTCAATTCCTTTGTTAGTTGTACTACCACATCATCTTCGATATTTTCATCTTCCGCAAAATCTATATATGCCTCGAGATGTGCTGCACATCGCACAATACGTTTCCGCCAGTTTTCATAGAGCTTAGAAAGCGAACCTGTGCTTTGTAAAAGTGCCTAAATTCTTAGTAGCACACTCATTTCCACTGGTACTGTTTAAACTCACCTGCTTTCGCTGTGCCTCGGTTTCTGCGTGAATAAGGTCAGCTAAGCCCTCCACTTCAGTCAAATCTAGCTTACCACCATAAAAAGCACGCTTCGTAAATTCTCCAGGTGTAGCAGGGCGTAAACCTGGTATTTTACCCAAACCTTCTAACATAGCTGAAATAACTGCCAATGAGCCGTGCACTTGAAATTCGCAGGAATCTTCGCCAGTAAATGACGCCGGCCCAGGAAAATATAAAACTAAACCTTTATCGATCATTTCTTTGCTTTGCGGATGGTAAAATGGCTTCAAGCTTGCATAACGTGGCTTTGGTTGAAATTTTTCACCAATTATTGCTTTAAGTGCTTGCTTTGTTTCTGGCCCAGAAACTCTTATCACTGATACACCGCATTTTCCGTACCCTATACAACATTTGACACAAATAATACTTTACTTGAAGATTTATATTTACGATTTTTTTTACCAGAACTTAAACTGAAAATTGTGCTTGCACTCATCAAGCGAATACATTTTTGTTTATAAATAATTTTAGTAAGAAAATTCATGACCAAAAATGTTTGTTATCGAAATGAACACTTAACATCCACAATCCACAATGTTTCCGTTCATTTCCAAAAGAAAAATGGAACAAAGCGAATTGAAAAAATCTGTTTACAATTTGAATTTGAATTAAAAATCATTTTCGTGCCTATTAATTAAAACTAAATAATTTTTATATTTGAATCAGTACATAATCTTGCATTTATATGTAGACTTTAGATAATTGGATATATTACTTGTGATAATTGCAGAAATGGTAAAGAAATTAATGCCACAGTTAATCAGTTTTTTGTTTATTTGAATAACAGCATGACAGTTTAAATGGAGGAATTCAACTGGTTCGAGATGATTCTCTCATACAATTTTTATCAAAATAATATTTCGAAAACTTAAATCATGAAATCTATTAAGAAAAGGTTATGCTTACAAGCACTAAGTGAGTATAAAGCTACTTTGAGTATCAGACAAGCTTATCAAGCTAGGACAGATGAAGCCTGGTACTAATATCCATTTTAGACGAAAAATTGACATAAAAAACATTTTTAACCTAGAGCAATAAAGACATTATGGACATCGGCCTAGTTAGATCAGTGACCGAAATAAAAAATTTATTTTTAATATGGCAGTTCTCGAAGAAGTGGACTTCGCTCTAACAAAGACAGAACGAAAGCATTAATGTCAGGCAATAAACATATCCAGATACGCAAATTTATCCAGAACCTAACTAGGCTTTTATGTTAGGTAATTATCAATGTATCATAATTAATAAACAAAATATTTTATTCTTTCATAACATAGTTTAAATTAAGAATCACCTCTATAGAACGCAATATAGTAACATATATAATAACTATTTGACGGATACTTATCTATGTGAAGCCTGAATTTCAAAGTAAATTTCTACGCCATAAGGAAGTTCATCGCTGTACCTTACCCATAAAACAAATGCGACTTAAAAGATCAGAGATTCCAATATTTGATTAGTGGATACTTAGTTTCTCCACTATTTTTTTATGTAGTGTTATGTTATATTATAACATCATATATATCATATATCATAAGTTTATATAATTTATTTTAGTGATCTTAAAATAGTTATTATATACTACTGATTGGTATTGTATACTGTCGAAAATGATACCTGATGAAAAGTTTAAGTGTGTATGTTTTGTTTGTAATTGGGTTTTTCCACAAATCCTTTCTTTTCAACCACAAACCCAACCTTATCGGTTGTGATACCATTTACAAAGACATTTTTAAAAGATATTTACAGTTTTTAACAAATTATATTGCAAATATTGAAGATTATTATTTGTTACCGGAGTTTATTTAAATGAAATGCTTTAGAACCATTAGTTTTAAGAGGCTGAGTTTCGTCCCGGATGGTGGAGTAAACTATCTGCTAAAATTTTCTTAACATATAAATTTCAAGTTATGTGACTGTACGGATTAACTTTCTTTGAGGACTATTATGTACATGTGTGGTCTCTGCCAGCCAGTTCTATCTACCATCAAATTTTATGAATAATCACAGTGAAAAATCAACCCGATTTAGGAACTTTTATTCTAAAACTAGAAGAGATGCTTTTTTCTTCACTAAAGGTGATATGAATATTATCAGTGAATTGAAAAAACTAATTCTAAAAATATATAAGTATTTTCAAAAAATATTCATAGATGTTTTTTATATATTTATTTGTGTGTTTATTCCAAAAATTTGATACTATTGTTTTGAATGCAAATGTCAGTCAATAAATCTTTGATCCTTTACTTTCATATACCTAGGTTGTTTTATATGGTCGCATATTGCCGGTTAAAATTTCGAGGACGCGATATGGGCAACTTATAGCAAACTTCTGTACGCAGTTCACAGTTTTAAAATTATATTCGTTGCCATCATTAACAGAAGATGGTACCCTATATTTTTAAAAAGTGATAATAAACAAAAGTATATATATGCATAAAAAATATACTAACGTTAAAAGAATTCGAACAATGTCTTCCATCAGCGATACACCATATGGTTTTAGGTAGGTATTGACTTCGCACATAGCTCGTTTTATGCAGGCCTTCATATCGAAATTGAAGCTAAATATTAAAGATAATAACAGTAATTTCGGTTTATATATTTTACTATATTACATTTTTCCGACTGTAAGTAATTGTTCATATATCTCACGTCGTTCTCTGTAATTTTGTGAGAAATGTTTCCATTTTGGTGTATTGCTCTTTGCATAGTAAACGTTTCTTTGACTACCAGGTGACCACATATTAGAGTATGTTCCCTTTCTGCGGTAT